TGACTCTGATGAGGACTGATAATCACTCTCCAGAGACAAGTACCGCATCGTCAGCTCGAGGACAGATAAATCGTTGTTTATCCAAAGACTTTTTGTTCATTACCTTTTCTAGTAACGTTACTCTTCCTTTTTTTGGCTGGTTTGCCTTCGCGAACTGCATATGTGAATTTTGATTGGTCTTTCTCTGCAATTGTTTTGCTATTCCTAGGTTCCGTGCCTCTTGAATTCCTCAAATCAAACGGGTACGCGCAAGTGGGCAGGTCCTGTGTGGCAAAAGGGTGGTTGCCATGGTTGCGAGAGAGTGACAGTCGCCTAAGCAAATCCTTTGTTTCGTCCCGGATGGAAATAATGAGCTGTATTTAGTGCAGATTAAACGGTCTAGAGTCACTCGATTTTTATACTCTTTTTATCAGAGTACTTACATTTTAATTATGCATTGATATATATATAGAAAGTTTAAACAAATGTGGAAAAAAGTTTTTTATACAATTTCTACCTACAATACCTTTAAGGGTGAGTAAATGATGACAATTCCCATTTTTAGATGAACTATCCCTTTAAGAGAGGGCTTTTTTAAATTGGAGTTTGCTTTAGGCAGCATAACTAGAGAGCCTATGTGGTGAGAGAGATAGAGTATGGGCTAAAGCTTTGCAGTGCTGTCAGTGCATATGCAGCAGGAAGTGCTCATTGTGCAGTTGTAGTTATAGTGATGCATGGCTCCTGCGCATCAGCATCAACACCAGTCTTTGGTTAGTGCACTGGACTGAGGGGGCAACTGAGGTGACGACTGAGGTGGCGTAAGATATAATAACTACTAAATGCAAACAATTCTAAGGACAAAACAATTATAATGGAACAGAAGGCTTGTAATATTGTTGCATTGCTTGTTTTCTAAGTATAATTTATCAAAAACTGAATAACAGATGTTTTTCATGCTTCAAATTGGAACTATCATTTTCAATCAACTGACAAAAAACAAGGAAAACCTGAACCACCTTCAATTGAAAACTGATAATAATAATAATAATAACAATAATTTAATTTTACAGTAAAATTACAAATATAATACATATTAATATATTTCAGTTACTTGGCTTTCGAATGTTAAACCAGAGGTGCGCAAAATCACATGAGCCAACTCACCACATATAATATTATATTTCAGCATAAACATACATTGCTAGACAGGTACTGAACATAATCTAGCTAACATTTATAATTAATTTGTGGCTGAAATATTGCAGGTATATGTCACAGTCGAAGTATTTATCATAATGTACTTTCAATAGCATTCAAAAAATAAATGTCAGAAAAATATCTGTTTGTAAATAAATACCAGTAGTGACGTTGTAAAACGAGGATGTTGTCATGTCACCATCAGTGTCCCAATGTGTAGTAGCTAAGCCAGGGTCCTTTCTGTCCTTACTAGTGCCCAAATTATTGCACATAATATACTGATTCACGATCTAGGGAGCTGATTGAGATGCACCCACTCAATTCATGGAGCTCTCATAATGCTGATGAGCTGATCTCAATCAGGTGTGTTAAAGGTGGGATCAGTAGTTTTTGAAAAACACTTTTGGCCAATGTTGATATTTGAAATAAAACAAACACGCCCCTACCCCAAAAGGATCTCACCCCTAATTTGATAGCTCCACCCCACACTTACGTACGCAACCGTAACCCAAGCAACGCCTATGGTGGAAACTGCTGTACCTGCAGGCCAAGGGTATGATGTCATCAATAAGGGAAAGCAATGTGTTACAATGGTAATCCATGTCGAATGTGGTTCGGTAGTAATGTGTGTTTTAATGCGTCAATGGTTCAGCTCCGTTTCACGTGGAAGACGACGCTGAACACCCATCCCAAAAACACAAAGTTATCATGATCAACTCGATAGCACGAGCACGACAGTCTAACAAATATATTGCAACTATAACAAGATTAGGGGGTTATATCGATCACTAAATGAGGAACCAAAGGAAACAAACATATATGGAAAGTATATTATCTTACTTTTCAGACACACTTTGGGAGCCGACGCTTGAAACAGACAGTGGAGGAGGTTTAGATGCTTCAGGCTTATATGGTGTGGAAATGAATGTGTCTTTTTAGCTGAAGCGAACGACAATAAGATCGCAAATGAAAAAACAAGCAAAGATGACACACGAGCATATTCAAGCAATGGCCAGCATATATTAGTTCTGTGAAACAAAGCTAAACAATGTTATTCACCTATCGAGAAGAGATAAAGCAACCTTGGCGTCCGATGTTAGGCCTTTACGCTCCTTGAGTTCTCTCCAGCACTGGTAAACTTCTCCGATATAAACAGTTTTATTGTGTTAGTTATATAGTTAATATTGTTTTTTATCTGCCATCTCTCTCTTTCTGTAGTCGTTCGGCTAATGTCTGTGCTGTGTGTAGCGCTCTCTCCTCCCCATCATTAGAAGACACGCCCCTTACCACTGATTGGTTACAAGTGTGTTTTAGTACTCGGTCTGACACAGTTTTCAAAAGTGTTTTTCAAAAACTACTGATCCCATCTTTAACTAAAGAAGACATACAAAATGTGCAGAGCGAAGGGTCCCCAAAAGTGGAGTTCAGAACAACTGCGTTTACAAACCATTCAGCTTTTATTTTTTTAGCTCTTAAAGCTTTTGCAGACCTTAATGCTTCTTTGTTGTCAATAGATTTATAAATGTTTCTCATTACAAATTCGCAAAAATGGTTAAAAGATATTGCATATTCAAATGGACATTATGAATGACTCAAAATCGCAGCGCTTGTACGTAGAGTGAACCGAGACGCTCCGAGAAACTGAATCATTCATCACCAATCATCACCGGATCATGAGCTTCTCACATGTAAAAGAACACAAGCAGAGTGTCAGACTGTATATGTAAGTAAATCGCAGAATTTGCGATTTGATAATCACACCAACTGGCAAGTAACATTGTTTCATATACTAGCCAATGACTGTTTTTTTTTGTTTTTTTTTCACACATTTGGCTCACAATTTTTAATTGTGGACCCTGGCTGAGATGCTAAGGGTGTCCCACACACAGCCGTTAGCTGGCCCTGATAGCTTTTGCGATGCTGTTTGAAGCAAGCCATGCATGAAATAAACATATTTGAGAACAGATATTTTGCAGTTTCTTTAGTAATTGTTTAAGGCGATTTCGCAATTCATGTGGGTCATACCTGCCGCAATTCACGTGGGCCATAACTCCTGAACAAAGGTAGATTGACAGCACATTATCGGATCGGATCATCATGTTTTCACTTTTCAGACAATCTTCAAATGTCCAATTGCGCAGAAAAATACTTTAATGTATTATGTTTTTGATTTCCGGGTACAATTTTGTTGCTGGAGAGTTTCAAATTGACCCATGTTGGATTCAATACAATTCCCCAAAAATCACACTATGAAAAACATCAAAGAATCAGGTACAAACAGTAATATCAATGCTTTTCACACAACAAAAAACAATTAGAACAAATAGAACTTATGATTTATAAAAATGTTTTTAACCACTATTTTTTTTTTAAACTGTTACCTTTGGGACATTTGCCATTACATTTTATCTTACAATAATATCTTAGTTTAAACCTAAAGTATAAACCTTTCCATATTTGGCGACTGATTTTCGATAAAAATGACAGAGCGATAGATAGATAGCAATAGATTCTCCATTTGTGATGCATCACTGAACTATAACGTACACCCAGATCCCTCTGTATGTTTTTATGTGTTTGTTAGAGGTTGAATTCAAATAAAATATTACCATACTGCACAAACTACTTCTGAATAGGATGTCTGCTTTCACATCACTCAAACCATAATAGAGCCTAGATGTCATCTAGTGGAAAATTTTGGTACTGTGCCCAAATAAAATCTTACTGATAGCAAATTTTTTAAGTAAAATTTGGAACACAATTTGTTCAGGTTTACGGCTTTGATTTTCTTGCAGTTTTAAAGTCTGATATGTTTTTTAAAATATATATTTTGTATAAAATATAAAAATATATATATATATTGACATTTTCATAAACTAAAACTTGAATAACTATTTTTAAATTTCACTTTTATAACTTTTTTTTAACTTCTGCAATAATCTTCAAAGTGTCTCCTTTAAAAGAGACAAGACTTAAGTTTGTGCTCAAAAGTATTCAGGATTTATAATAATTAAGGTTGCAAATGTCATTTTCAGGTCTATGCTCAAAAAGTGGAACCAACTTAACAGGTTAATAGTTAACAACAACATAACATAAAACCAAAAAAAAAAAAAACGTTTTCATTTTGGGTCTGTACAGTTACCTTGGAACATAAAATTATGCGGGTCAAAATGACCCGCGAACATCAAAATCATATTAAAAATGTACGCACATTGCACAACACATCAGTGTATCCTCACTTTGCATTCATGTTTGTTACCCTAAAAGTGGAAAAGTCACAAAAAGAAAAAAGAAAAAAAGATTGAAAAAAGACTGAAAAGTTGCCTTTAAACGTAAACATATCTGGGTAAAATTGACCAACGAATATCAAAACCGTAATAGAAATTGTTTGTACATTTCAAAACACATCAGAGTATCCTCACTTTACATGCATGTTCATTATGCTAAATGAGAAAAAGTCACAAAATGTCAAGAAAAAAGAAAATTGTAGGTTAACTAGTATTTCTGACAACTCCAAAATCAAAATGGGTCAAATTGACCCCCAACATCATAGAAGGGTTAAATCAGCTGATACCATTGATTAGCCAATACATTTTACTAGTTCAAACCCGGCAAGAGGCAATCTATGAACTATTACAATTAATCTTTTGCACTTATCTCAATTTGCTCCAGGAGTTTGGGGGTTTCTCGCTGTAATAATAAATGTACTTGGATGAAAGCGCCATCTAAATGACTAATTAGATAGTTAACATGAATTTTCTAGAGACTGAGGTTCAGCTATAGGTTCTTTTACTACTTATGTTGTGTGCATGTGGGTGGCTCACCTGACTGTGGGTGGCAGTAGCTGCTATGATTATTGCATTGGCAAGGTTGGCACCCCGTGCTGCTGAAGTACGAGAAGCCTGGGCGGCAGTCGTCACACTTGTCCCCATGCACTCCCATCTTGCAGATGCACAAGCCTGAACTGCCAGAAAAGTAAAGATAAACATTTCTGGAGTTAGAGTTATAGAGGCACAAAATGAAAGACCATGGACAGTACAGAATCCTTCAAAAGCCAGACATAGAGAGGTTAAAACCTCTGTCCACATCAAACACCAGGTTTTCTCTGAACTGCCAGAATTGCTGCTCCTTCCCATCCATCACATGTTAACAGAACCACACCATAAAAGCTGAAGCAACATCTATTTGAGATAATGCTGTAAACTAGAGGTGTAATCATACATTGATACGCATTGATTTTTGATAGAAATCCAATAAATCGATTATAGTATTATTCAGGCATAAATAATATAAAATGACCAAGGTTTGTGGACAGCAAATACTTAAATGCATTTCATTTGCATTGGATTTAGCAGCAGGTAGGATACACCATGGTTGTTTCAGTTTCTTTCCTGCCCTGGGTTACATAAAAAATGATTACACACAGGTAAATAGTCATTAGTGGTTTTGCGTGTAATGAAATCTCCTTGAACTACTTGGCAGAGAAACAGATTGGGGTAAAGAGGCTCTACATGAGAAATTACTGTAACAATATCAGAGTGCTTAAAATGAAAAGGAACAGAAACTGCAGAAATGAGAAAACTTCTGATTATACTATTACACACTTCAGTCTTTTGAAGAGCAAATGAGAAACGCAGAAGGATGATTTCTTCTGGGAGAGGCTTGTGAAATCTGAGACATATCTGCATTTATTTTTTTCACACACACACACACACACACACACACACACACACACACACACACACACACACACACACACACACACACACACACACACACACACACACACACACACACACACACACACACACACACACACACACACACACACACACACACACACACACACACACACACGTTGTGTTTTCATGTTTTATGGCTTTCCATAGACTTTCCATAGACATAATGATTTTTATACTGTACAGACTGTATATTCTATTCCCTTACACTAACCCTATCCCTAAACCTACCCATCACAGGAAACATTCTGCATTTTTACATTTTCAAACAACATCACTTAGTATGATTTATAAGCTGATTTCCTCATGGGGACCAAAAAATGTCCCCACACGAACAAGGATTTCGGATATTGCCATCCTAGTGGGGACATTTTGTCCCCATAACGTAGGGTTTACCAGGCCACACACACACACACACACACAACTCTCCTATACACAGAGTAATGAGGCTACTTACTATGACTGATGCTGAGCTCACGGTTCCTGAGAAAAAGAACCCTGACATGTCAGTTCAGTTGAATCCGACCACTCAAATTAAATCGGTATTCCACTTGTTTCAATAGGATACAGAATATTTAAATAATTAATATAATTAAATAATAAATAAAACTAAAATAGTTTTTGAAGTGTCAAGTTTGAGAACTAATCTTTGTTTGTGTTCATCAGAAGAAAGTAAGTCATAGATCTGGGAATTTGCATTTCTTAATGGAATATCCCTTTAAGTCTAACTCACTAGTCTAACCTACACACAAACACACACGACACGTCTAAAATCTTGCCTCATCACACCACGTATGCATTGTTTGCTGAAACACACAAATGCACAGTCATTCGTAAAAACAAACTTGAACATGGACATCCTTTAAGAATGAAACCCTTGAGTGTGATTTAGCAAGCATCATTCACTGTGCTAAAGAAGAGCATCTTAAAGACCTTTCGGTCCTTTAAGCTGACACCATCATCCTCCACAGCACATGTCAATAACTTTAATGTTTGGCCTCACAGTCACGTCTAGAGAGAACTGAGCTATGATTGTATCCCATCCACCCTCTATGAAGAGTACAGAGAGAGAGAGAGAGAGAGAGAGAGAGAGAGAGAGAGAGAGAGAGAGAGAGAGAGAGAGAGAGAGAGAGAGAGAGAGAGAGAGAGAGAGAGAAGCATGCTTCTGACATGGGCTGGTTTATGTCCTGTTAATTTCAATGGATTTAATCTGAAAGTGCCTTCCTAAATATGAGAATTTAATGATGGATGTAGCCATTTAAAAAATCAGATATTATAATTAGAGCTGCTGTCTAATTTTTATTTATTTAAAATGCTTAAAATAGTATATTCTCCTATGCCAGCTTAATTTTCAGAATTAACTACAGTATACAGTAAGTAAATGTTTAAATATGTCAATATTCTCTCTATTCTCAATATGTCAACTTCTCTTTCAGTAAATGCGTTATGGGTAGGAGCATCTGCTCTGCTTGGCCAAACAATGGAAACCCACTTGGAAGCAGTCATTATTTCTGCAATGCATTAGTGCACACTTATGTTTTAGGCCTTTAACCCCTTATAGGGCCGTAGCTAGAGGATTCGTGGCCCCCTAAACAAATATAGATGTGGGCCCCCACCACCCTCCACCAATATCATATACTGTACAATAGATGAGCATGGAGGCCCACATATAACAGAAGATGGTGATGATGTTGTAAAACCTTTATTTTAAAAGTTAAATGTTTATATAAAAATTACAACTATAAAAACTAACAAAAAGCAAGAAATTGTTAAATAATAATAAAATCAATTTATAAAAGTAACAGCTTGAGAAAAAGCTTGAGATTCTAAGCTTTAAAATTATGCCTATTTTGTGCACCAATAATGAAAGGTGACAGTACCCGGCAGGTAGTTTTCTTATTCCCAGCGAAATAACAATACAACCTGTATTTATGAACATCTTGATCGACTGGGATACAACAACTCTCATGGCCTCCCTCTCCTTCTTTTCATGGCGTTTCTGGTACCCTGATTTATGTTTTCTTTTCCCCGACATTTTTCAGTCAGTCAGTCTCCTGCTCTTCCACCAAGTTCATCGTTAACTTCACGCAGCTGCCGCCTCAACTCTGATTGATTCTGTTCACAAGCTAGGGTGGGACTTACAATTTTATGACTGAATAATTAATAAATACTTTAGATCGGACTAAACCATTTTTAGGGAGGTAAGAGAAGCAGATATTTGGAAAAAAATATTTAACCAAATTGCATGTTTTTGCGGTTTTCATTTAAATCTCAGGCATACAACTAATATAAATATTAGAATTATTCATACAACAGGGGCCTATATGGTAGCCTGACTACGTCAGACTTCGTACTTACGCTCAATTTCATTTCGCTTCTGTACTCAGTCTGAGACAGCGGCCTATCTATCCGTTTTCCTCCGGCCTGAAAACAGCCGGCCAATCAACGAACAGAGGGCGGGCTGAAAGCCGTGACGTAGTCGCTAAGCGCCGAGTTTAAGATTAGGTCAGGGAAATCGAAAACGACCGCAGATATGGAGATGCGGATGCAATTCGCTCTGTTGTGGAGAACTTACCGGCATTAGCAAACTGAAGCCCGAACAAGAAGAGTGTGTATTAAACATTTTTAAATGGAGGTGATGTTGTGGCCCTACTCCCTTTGGGAAAAGTTTAATTTATCAACTATTACTGATCGTCAGCGAGAAACTGGGGAGCCTTTTGACAGGTCAGTGTCTCCTTTCTTTTCCAGGTCTTAAATATTGCCATGACATGCTGTAATCTTGCAATTAAGTTGCAGCATTTCCGACAGACTCGAGATGAACAAAGAGCTGTGTTTAACAGAACTAATCCTAACTTTGACAGTTGGCTGCAAATAGGCATGTGCCGGTATCAAATTTTCATGCTGCGATTAATTGATTGAGCTTTTATCACGGTATACGGTATTATCACGATATTTTAATTGCACAAGAGAAACAGATGGATTGGGGGTATCTAAAAAAAACTTGCATCACAATGTGTAAGTGTGATTGTCAAAACATTAATTTTATTTTTTAGTGACAACATGTTACAATGTTTACATGGTACAGTTACTGAGGCTACTGTTTGTATTATTGCTTAACACAATTTTCACGATTTCAATTAAATTCTTGGATTTAATTTCAATCTTGATTCAATATTGACCCATTTGGATAAATATTAGGTAGGCTACAGTAGATAGCCTGCATTTAAATTTTTCTCAAGAAAAAATATCTCACATAATGCTGTAAACATACAGAGAGAAATTAAATATAATGCATACAATATAAATATAATAATAATATAAATATAAAAATGTATTATGCCGTAATTTTCATTATCATAACAATTATATAATGACAAGTAAACATATATTAAAATATGTAATATAGTGCACATATTTAGCAAAATACTCCTCTCTATAGCTATTTTCTTATAGTCAACTAACATTAAATGGCTTTCCTGAGGTAAATGTAACGTTCTGTGACATAATTGTTCTCCTGCAGTTTTATTGACCTCTTTCCGTGGTTGAAAAACACTGATTGATCGAAAGTACGTACCTTTCGGTGGGTTGTACTGTATCTTTAATAAAAAGTAACAGATGATCGGTTTACTTGAACTGAGGCGCGCGATCTGTCACGTCACATTTACAAGCGCCAAAACAGTATTTATTGTCTGAATTTCATAATAAAATGGACAGAACCTGAGAGCTGATATTTTTTTCATATCAAAAGTAACCTGCTCTGTCTAGTCTGTCGGTGTCAGTGTCCTCTTTGCTCCGCGATTTTTCTCTGCGTGAGAAAATGGATGTGTGGCGCGAGACCGTGTGAAAGTGTCAATTGCGTGAGTCTCAAGCTGAATGCGTGAGAGTTGGCAGCCATGCGGGGGATAAATAGTCGGCAGCGTTCCTCCTTCCGCCGTGCTTCTTCTCCACGTGAGGATTGTTTACATTAGACTAGAGTGCGCACTGCATGCACACAGTGCTTATACATGTGATGTGGGGATTGTTTACATCAAAGTGCGCACGTGTTTTGCGCAGCATACGCATTGTTTTTTAAGCGGTTGATGGAAAATAAGCTGATGCGCGTTCTAAAAATCTAAATTCGGATCTATTATTTTTCACGGTATTTCGAAGTCCCCGCGATAACAATATCGTGCATATTCATTACCGCGATTTATCGCATTACCGAATACCGGCACATGTCTAGCTG